TTGACATTACATTACTTGAATCTTCTAGTATTTTTTAGGTTCCTAGTGAATAAGGTATATATATATATATATATATATATATAGATGGCTCGCGAGCACAAGTCAAGAACTAAAGAAGAAAGTAAAGTGAAGAAAAAGTGCAGCTCAGTCAAAAAATTAGTTAGCGAAAGCAAACATCAAGTTAGCCAGCATCCAAGTGATTAGCCATAACAGGCAATATTTTAAAGTGCGTTTCAGAATTTAATAGAGATAAGGAGAATAATGTGTCTTGTCAAAGGTTATTCTAAAGTAATTGAACCCATCTGTGTGGACTTTGACAAAAAAGGAGACAATTATTTAAAGTTAGAGACACCGCCCACAGAGTAACATAAGTGAATATATCGCAGATTGTGTGGTAAGAAACAGAGTTGAGGAAAATAATTCATCTTGTCAATTGGATTCTAAAGTAATTGAATCAGCCTGTGTGTACTTTGACAAGAAAAGAGAATTATTTAGAGTTTTAGATAAAACTGTGATATCCATAGTGTAAGGAATTTTTGTACATATTTTGACTTGTTTTGAATATGTTATTTTAAAACAAGTGAAGTGTGTGCTGTCCATTTATTGTCAAATTTATCACCAACAAGTCACAGACACCTACTGTAGAAGAATCCTCAGCCCAGTTACATATACATAAAACTCTGACAGTGATATATATATACATATATCAACCTCAACCATAAGTAAACAGTGTCATATGTCAAGTAACCGAAATTATAAATAGGAAGTTAGCATTCAGCAGAAACTGGACAAACTCTCAAACCACTGTAGGAGCAAGAAGTAACAACAAACCAAACCCAGAATTACTGGGTAGTGTCATTGCCTCAACTCAACTATAAGAACATGGCAATACTTGTAACCAATATTAGAAGCAGAAATCGTAACTCATCCAATCATAAACGCAGGGAAAATGCATTCTGCATCAGGAGTTATGAGGAAGATATGGAACATTTGCTCAACCGTAGGAAGAGTGTACATATATCCCATTGCTGGTATTAAGAGGCAGATGAAGTTTTCCAAATTCAGTCATAGGAGCATGGACGGAACCTCCTGCAACTGGAATTAACAAGAAGGAGGGGCCTCTACTGCACTCAACCATGGAAACAGTATGGTGTCATCCTGAATCATGTAGTACGAGGAGGATCCCGTGTAGGCTGGTCCAGCTCTAATTGACAATTGGTCCACCTGAGAATAAGCATCCAGGGGAAAGGGAAAGAGGGAACCCAGCTTTGCCCTCTTCACACTGAGTGGATTTGTGGTTGTATTTAAAGTAAATTTCTACTTCACACTCAGAAGGATGCTTCCTTGGTCCACCACCTCAGTAACTTGGAACTAGTAAGTGGTAAGGACTCCCGTGCTCCACTTGGAGATAAAAAAGGAGAAGTATATGATGTGGGGAGTCCATAGGAATGTCACTCTGTAGAAAGTGCAATGGGTGTCCACAATTCCCTATTTTGAAAGGCATACTGTCCCCAATTTATGCAATCAAAGGGTTGGTAGGGATGGGCAGAAATCCCGTTTTGATTTATTCATGACAGTCCACCATTGAGTTCAACTTACAAATATCTGGAGACACATAAGGATATGCCACTAGTCATCTTGTGGAACACCCTATCTCTACAATGAGCTTTATAACTCTACCAGTAAATAGTTTGAGTAAAGGCACACCTGACATGGCAACACTCAACACAGAGTGAGATCCTAAGAGTAGTGGTTAAAGAGAGTCCCTGAAAAAAAAAAACATAAATGTTGTGAAAAAGACATACCCAAGTCAAAAGAAATAAATGTATGTAGAATCGCCACAAGAGGGAGACAATGTCCACCTGAGAAAGATACAGCCAGATCGTGCAGATAATGAGTGACGAAGGAATAGAATAGTCCACATTCTGGCTTAAATGAGTGCTTCCAGCAGATGGTGAAGATGAGCAGCCAAAGACATGGTGATATGACAAATCTGATGAGAAATGTTGAGGAGATGGCAACCTTACATGGATAAATCTGAATACATCAGCCTAAGGAGTTGATGAACCCAACCAGTTAATATGACAGAGGATAGATCATGGAATCAGAAGGGCTCCAGGGAATGAAAAGTTGGAAACGTGAACCTCAAAAGGAGGCAGTACATGCAACACAACACCAAAAAAAGAGCGAACCTGACAAGGAAGCCGATTGGGACTTTGTACATGGTGCAATTTTAACCCAGTCTTTATGTATGCACAAGAAAATGTTTCAGAACAAACTACATGTACCCCACTGTACCAAAGCTATTACAGAGGACTATGACTAATGAACACCAGCTGTAAATGGGTTTTTGAGAATGTTTATTTGTCAGCTGCAATTGCAAAAAATATCAAGTGCTAAGGCAAACATCCAATTAGAGATTATATGGATACGCTTAACATTCTTGTCATCAAAGGGTTACTTTGAACACAATATTGCAAAAATTTAGGTATTATTTCTGATAAGGCAAACTTGACTTTTTGTTCATGAAGATTAGATTGCTTATTATATTTGAGATCATTTTATATTCAGAAAATTACAGTACGTGGTACTGATGGCAAATGTTTAAAATACTGAGAATAAAAATATTAATTTGAATAAAATAATGCCATTAATGTAGTCCCTGTTAGGAATATATTTAATTCAGAAGAAAAACTATCTTACTGCAGGAACAAGAATTTGAAAATATGATTCAATCCTAAAAATTTTAAGCAATGCAAGTGGAATATAGAAATTTTAAAAGTTCTTCTGTAAAAGGGAACACCAGTATAATGAAAAAAAAAGAATTTAAGTGTGATATTAATAAAACCTTGAAACATTTGGCCATTTGTGTGTTTAATTGTGGTGAAAAGTGAAAACACAAATATAGGATTTATTTATATAATTTTTGTACTTCTGGTTAAATATAATTATCTTCTTGTACAAGGCTTTGGTGAGATCGTCTTTATAACAAAGAGTTCGGTTTCATTCCTACTCTGTAATTACTATTACAATTTAAAAAACTTGAACTATGAAAAGACTCAGACTAGTTTTTGTCTAAAGCATAAAATAATTAG